AATATTTACAGAATTGTTGTAAAATTGGTCTCTTAAAATGTATTACAGTATTATAAACTATATAAAAAGATCTATTTTCTTATTTGGGATGGATGTGAAAATCGTGTAACTATGGACGGTCTCTCTTGTAGGATGCCTAATACTTATATGCTAAAATTGTTCGTCGATCAGCAAAAAAAGATTTTATAGGTTTGCTTATCTGGTACACTGATAAACAAACCATCCTTAAAAAATTTGGTGGGCGCAGTCATGTTTTTTATATGTACTGTTTGTATCAAATCATATAACGATAACGAGAACTGTATACGTCAATCTGCATGTGCTAACTACTCGATAACCCAAAAAAATCATTTTTAAAGTCCACGGAAACTTTTAACTGACACGCGAAAATCCGAGTTAGTCTTTACGATCATTTCGCAGATAAATTTAAAAAGACTTAATTCTAAAGCTTATACAATTGATTCATTTGTGTCGATAAAGTAATAAACTAAATGACTCGATGATTTCACTAGAATATCTTTAAATCTTGGAGCTGCGTAGCAATTTTCGAATTAGCTACATAATAGATTACGTATCGGTATTTCTAAAACAACAATGATTTTCCCGTATCGGTATAGACAGATCATTTCGTTCTCATATGAAAACGTTGCTCATTGTTTGACCAAAAAAAGTTAGCCTGTATTTTGGAGGTAGATCAGATGTTTTTTATCTTCATTTTTAACGTTAGCGTTTAATAAGTAATGAAATATTACTCAAATTATTTATTATATACTGTTTTTCCCTTCTTTACTATATATGATGGTGACATGTTTATTAAACAAAAATTCCTATAAACTTGGAGGATTAGAGAATTTGAGTCTCGAGTACGTGTACATAATTTATTTAAAATTTGCCCATTGTGCGTAATGTATCCATCATTGCTTTTCCCGCAGTTGATAGGTACAGTGGTCGACAAGTATACGAGTTGGTCAGCAATATTTTACCCAAAATTGTATGCTGAGCATTTCTCTAGTTACTCAGCCTGTGGTTTGTTTAATAAAAACACGAGTTATTGACAAAAAATTTGGGTCGGCGATCTAAAATGATTGGTTGGGTGTACGCGGGTTGGTGCGCGTTTACCACCCCATGCGCGGGGAATTCCATGGAGGACAGGAAGAGAACCGTTGTTTGGATGTCCCCATTTCATTTTCAAACAATAGAAAGTCTGACGATTATCTTTTTGCTGCGGATGTTGTGTGATTGATTATTTGAGCCATTAAATTTATTGTTCTCTGATTGGTTAGCAATTTTGATCTAAAATATGTCGAGAATGCAATTTTTTAACCCATATTTTTGCTTTTGGGCAAAAAAAGAGGGTGTAATTTGTAATTTTAGAAGTTTATTAGTAGCTTTTACACAAGATGAAACATCCCTGTTCGACCTGATGATACATGTACATGACATGTAATTCGTGCATGTCTTACTTTACTTAAAAAGAGAACACAAATTTGGCAAAAACATAAAGGTTTTTTAACACAGCATATGTACATGTACAACATTAGCATCGCGTAAAAAACACATATAAATTTATCATTTGAGAATTTTTCTTTTTTTTCCATTAAAAATCAACAATGAAAGCAAATCCTTTCGGTCATGGACTTCCTATGCATAAAGGATCTCCAATAAAGTTAATGAAATATGAATTAGGAACGATAAAATTAAATCAATTAGCATTGGATATCATTGAAAGTATTAAAGAACCGCTTGCTATAGTGGTTGTTGGTAAGTTTAAATAAAATAGCTTTGTTTGACAAAATAAAATTTATGCTTACATCACAATAATACATGAATAAAAGCGGGTGCATATCGTCGTGGGAAATCTTTCTTTGCCAATCTTTTACTTGGTCGTCACGACGGATTCTCCCTTGGCTCCCAAGTAACTGGCTGTACACATGGTATCGATATGTGGGATACTCCGTTCTATGTGAATGGAAGCAGAGTAATATTATTGGATTGTGAAGGAATAAATGACCCACAGCAAGAGTATGATTGGGCTACGAAATTATTTGTTTTAGGTCTTACTATATCCTCAACGTTCATCTATAATATTAATGGAGTAATCGAACGAAATGATATCGAAAGACTTTTCTTGATGAAAGATCTTACGAAATACATTCAGCCACCGACTAATTGTCAGTTTTTGCCACAACTCGTTTTGTTGTTGCGTGATTTCGAACTGGAGCGTGACTTGGACTTTCGTCAGTACTTCATCGAGAGGTTAGCAACAGTCAATTTTGAAGGTGACTATATTTAATTTTTTACGAATTTTTGGTATGGATTCATTGTATTAATCTTTTTTTTATTTAATTAGCCGCACAAGGAATTTATGAATTTTTCTCGAATTTTCAAGTTCACCCGATTGCGGTAATCATTTATTTTTTTCTAATTTGTAGTAGCACAGTGAATTTCATATTAAGCTCCTTATTTAAACTTAAAATTAGCATCCTGGCGTTCATGGCGAAACTTTGCAACATTTAGAAAGTGTTAACAGTGATCAATTTAATGGAGAATTCGTATCTGATATACGCCAAGCAATAGACGCAATATTCCGATCGATCAATCCTAAATATATTGGTGCTTCACCAATGACTGGTCCAGCCTTTGCAAAATTTTTGTCGGATTCTGTAGCACAAATAAATAAACCGGAAACCAATATATGTCTCTCGATTCCAAGCGAATACGAGTCAGTGGCCAGATACGTTGGCCAACGAGCGATCAAGGAAGCCATAAAAATTTACCGAGAAGGGATGCAAACTCATCTTGAACGTCCCATCAAATGGACGGACTTTCGTGATGTTCACGCAGGATGCTTAAAAAAAGCTCAAGAAAGGTTCTTTGATAGGGTTTTGGGTACGGCTTCACATATTAAAGTGATCGAAGAAGAATTTTCTGCTGATCTTGAAGAAGCCAGAGAAGAATATTATAAACAAAATTCGAGAGCTTTAGAACAATTTAATAATAATATTGCTGACGCTTGTTGGAGAAAGTATTTATTGCAGCAATATGATGTGATGGTAATTATTTTGATCTTTATATGTGCTCGTTTAGTTTGTTACAATGGTGACGTTTAGCATTCATGTATTATATTCGTCAATTTAGAATGAAACAGTGCTATCGAAAGCACTCGAAGACTTTAATTTCGATTTTAGTTGGAAAATGATTCCAGGACCAGAGGCAACACGTGTCTTACAACGATACATATCAACGGAATATCAAGAACTGGTTATGCGTTTAGGAGAAAGTAATAAAATACCATGGGAAACAGCATTACAATTACTTGAAATATCTAATGATGAAAAAGAACTACTCGAAGCCGTAGCACCCGAACATGAATCAGAAATGCAATTGGTATTCACGAAAATAAGAACCAAAGAACGAGAGAAACAATACGAGAAAAAGCTAGAACAATTATGCACATGCGTGAAACAGCAGCCAAATATAGAACCATCACAAGTTGAGCAAGTTCAACAAGAGAATGTACAGGTTTTGGGTGAGGTCAAGGAACAAAATCAACAGGAAGAAATGAAATTAACTAGATTCGCAGCTCTTCGGAAGCAAATGACTAAAGAAAGGATGGAGAAGTTGGTAAAAGTCTTAAAAATTGCTGGACAAGTGGCTTCGATTGCGTTCACAGTGATCCATTTTATTTTATAAAACATTTTATTCTTATATTATATAATAAAATTTTAGATCATTATTTATTGATGTGGATGACGGGTGTTAATTTAATATTAATATTTTCTACTGTATTTTTTTAATGTATTTTAAAGCTATCGTTATAGCTATACAAGTTTAACGTATTTCGTACTTATTATTATGTTTTCATTATTATGAATAAACACAATCACGATAACGATAATCAATTTACAATGAACCACTTATTATAAATAGCGTTAGAATTCTAGAAAATTTATCAATGAGAATGAGTATATTTACGCAAATACAGGTATTTACAACAACAACTGCATAACGATAATACATGCACATGTATAACGATAACACACACAGTTTCTTTTTATAAAATCCATAAAACAATTCATCACCTAATACCCCTGAATCTTTAATGGGCATTTCGTTATTTTGGCCACCTATTCATTATGTTTATAAAATGGCGATGTGCTAATTAACGGTATACTTAAAAGAGATGGACCCGAACTACTCGAATCAAGAGGTTGGCGAGATTCAACCGAAGATAACTTTGATATATTTAGGTTCGTTAACGGAGGAATCAACATAACTGGAGCGGATTTTTCAGCTTGTAACGGTTGAATTGGATTCATTTGTGGAATTGATGTGAGTGATCGAGAGCTTGGAGCTTGTGGAATCGATAATTGCCTCGTTGAAGCTATTAATTCATGGAAACTTTCGGATTTTCTGCGTCTTCTATCGTTTTTGCGATAAAAGAAAAATGCAAGGCCTGCTAAAAGGACAACGGCTAAAATTCCGCCTATGACACCACCTACTATAACGCCAATATTTGCTCCTTTTTTTGGGGAATATATTTTCCATGTATATTCATCTCCGACTATCTTAAGGATCGAAATAAAATTTGTATTCGATGTTAATTTATCACTTTTGCCATCTTTCCCTGAACAAAAGAAAATGCGATTAGACTCTTTTTATTATAATCTATTCAAATTTTTTTTATAAAAGATTACCGAATGCTACGACCATATAAGTATCGTCGATAATTGTTGCCGTATGGTAGTAAGGAATAGCGGTAAGTACATTAGCTTGTGGTGCAATCGTCAGAATGTAATTGTCACCATTTATCTCCAGAATTACTAAAGCATTGCTAGGATCAAGAGGTTCATCTGATTTTCCGCCGTAAATGATAATTTTATTTTGCACTTTATATTATTTAAGACAATATTAATATATTAGTAATATTATTAGATAATATTAGTTTTGAATTTAAATTACCTAAACATGCTGAATGTCCATATCGACCGACTATGTTATTTGTATTAGTAGCTAACTTTGAAATTTATAAAGAATTAGAACATAAGGAATGATTTTATTAATTTTTGAAAACCAAAATATATTTACTTTTGGTGTCAAGCTCTCATCCGAAATATTGTATGTCCAGATCTAAAAGTAAATATTTTGGTGAATAATTTAAACAAAATAAGAACGAACAACTTTCTTTTTGAAGATATGAAACCTGATTCATTGGTATTATTGTTCCATTTATAAATTTACCGCCTATGTATATTATGGAATTGGAATCTTGTATGTATGTAGCAGTAAAATCAGAAGCCGGTAATTCAGATTGGTCATCGTCAATGGAGCTCCAATTGTCCGTACTTATATTATAAATGAGCATTACATGAGTTTGAGGGAACTGTTGCTGAGTGGATGAATCCATACGTTTCTGAAGGTGTGATTTTGATCCACCATTTGCCCATTGAGGAAGTGCTGGTGGCGGATAAGTGTCTGAGCCTGGCGGAGAAAAAGATCCTTGTTGTAAAGGAGGAATTTCTGGGCGTGACGAAGGAGCAGCTTGACTAGATGTTTGTTGTGAAGGAGGAATCGTTGTTTGGGAAGAAGGAATTGTTGTTTGAGTAAATCTACCAAAAATGAAAATATTTCCAAATGAATCGGCTATAGCATTCATAGTTCTTGCTTTTGGATTATTGAATGTTGATGGACCTTGCCAAAATGATGATTTACTCGTTATATTAAAAAGAAAGCCATCATTCAACTTTGAAATAAAAAAATTTATGAAAATTTATTCTTTGCATTACTAAAAATACGAAGATTAAGCGTTACCGTTTTGTTATCAGGGCTTCCAAATACGCAAATTGTTGAATTCTTATCATTTATCACTGAAGTTACGAAAGCTACCTTGGGAGAATTAATGATGTTTTGCTGCACAAAGTTTAAAGAATTCATATTTGATATTTCAAGTGCAAGTGTAAAAAAATCAGTTGAAATACTAGTGTCATCATCTAATACTCCTCCTAAAAAATAAATTTTGTTGCCGATATTATTTGCAATATGCCCGTAACGACTGGATGGGGTAAATCCTGCATTTGCCAACAAGAATGGTAATAAAATAATCATAACAATTTTACAAGTTAAAAAATTCATTTTATTTAAATTTTTTTAAAATAGAAGGGTTTAAATATGTACGCAATGCAATGTTTAAATATCGATATTTATATTTTGAATAATACCGGTAGTTACACTTTTCCAGGGTGTCCATACATATCGGTGTTTGTGTATCAGTATACAGATACCGATACCGATAACGATAATGTTTTATTGTATTAGAAACTTGTGATCGAATGCTTTACAAAGTTTTCATAGTAACTAATTTTACCAACTGTTAATAGCATCAAATGCCCCGTAAAAAAGCTTCACATTTTTCCGTTTTCACTTCTGCCACTATATTGTCATCAACTTGAATAGATCCAAGTTTTCCTCTTAGATTTCTTCACTGGTAAGTGTATTAGAACTTTTTTCCAACCGTTTTACAAAACTATTAACATTATGATAAATACCCTTTTTTGTAATATTTATTACAGTGACGACAGCAATATTGTGTTGTTGCATAACAACTATCATGATAACCATGCCCGCAAACTAAAACCTTCCATTATTCAAAAATCCGTGGCAGTGATCACAGAGATTAGGTTGTGAGGGAAAGCTCGAACTATAACCCATAGGAAGACATTTTGTATCCACGATTTTATTTATAGTAGCTAATTGATTCTTTTGATGGATTTTGCTGAATTTTGTTTTTCTCTTGATTTTTAAAAATTTCTTGCAGGTAATTAAGAAGAAAAAGTCACATTTTTTCTATTAAAATTCTATTGTTGATGATATCGTTTTGTTTTAAGGTAGATGTTTCGAAATTTATCATTCTGCATATCTGTAGGATAGAGATTAGTTAATATTTAAAATAAAATAAAAAATGCGAGAAAAATGGCTTACCAATTATATAAGCCTGACTGTCTTATAATACTTCTGCTGACGAATTTGATGAAGTCTGTGCACGAACTTTACTATGCAAATTCTCAACATAATATTCATTGAAATTTACCAAAAAAAGTTTAATCGCTTCAATAAGTGGATGGTTGGTATCTCGACAGTAAAAGATATTGGAAAAAGATGCGAGTGATGCTTTATTATAATTATGATGCTGCCAACATAACATAAATGTTCAAATTCAGAATATTGTTTCCAGATATTCATCAAGTGCTAACATGGCAGAAATTAAATTATCCAAGAGATAAAGATCATACAGTATTTGATATCTTTACAATTCGATCCGAATTTTTTCATAATTTTTTCTCGAATTTTGCACCATCCGTCATATGCTAATTCGAATAACAAATTAATTTGTCACGGTTTAGGCTTTTAGCCAAGATTTTTTTTTGCCGAAAGAAAAACTTATAAACTATTATTACCTTTTCTCTACTATTTAGAGAAACATATAATGATCCCAATAATGGAATAAATCTCACGAGGGATATTATAAGAGGAATTATTTAAATCGGTGATTGCTTTACAAATGAAAAGCTGACTGGCCAATCTACTACGATGGATGCTGCTTAATTATGCAAATGTTCAATATCCTTATTAATTTCAACAAAATTTGAAGCGCGTCAATATAATCATTCATCGAATGTAAACATTTTTCTTGAAATCCAATTAATTATATAATTTTTGTGGATCTCCTCTTTTAATCGCATCATCATCGTTAAAAATCGATTTTGTTAAAATTGTACTTTAGATTCCCAATAAGATCCATTGTAATCTTTGTGTTTCATATGACATTATATTGATGTACTAATTTAAAATAAATATTATTCGCATCAATATTTAATGAATTATGAATATGTGTATCGGTATTATTAAAAATAAGTGGAATTGTCTACATGTTTTTATTGGTTTGCAAATACATATTGCCATATGTTTGGCTATTGATAATGATGATTGTATCAGGACACCTCTTTTCATGAATATTATGATAATCATCTAAATTATATAAAAACAATATATCTTAAAATACTAGTAATGTTTTTAAATAATATTTTATTTTTATAAAAAAAAACTTACATTATTTATAAAGAACTGATACAGAAACATCCAAATTGTGCAACATTTCGACGGATATTCCGGATGCTAAAAAGTATAAGCAAACTTTCAATTCAAAATTATTGATGAACTTGTTTCTTATATTGGTCATCATATAACAAAAACCAACTGCTGACTTTTTCGTTTCCATCTTATTATATATAGATCTCTCATTAGGAATTAGAGCCATTGAAAAATTCATATAAACA